TATTTAATCCTGATGAAGGATCAGGCCACTCTCCACTGGGAAGAAGCATGGACATACAAGGAAAGGAAAGGAAAGACCACCATGTGACTGGAACAATGAGAGAACGAGGAAGAAGATAGACAACAAGATGAATCTGGTACTCAGGTAACGAGGAGCTTTGAAGACAATGCTATAGACCTAGGCTTTATGCTTAAGAGAGGTACAAAGTTATGGAATGGTTTTATGTAGAAGGATGACATCAGCATATCTGACTTTCTAAAAGATTTGTTTATATATATATATTATTATTATTGATTTCATAGAGGAAGGGAAAGAGAGAGATATATAGAAACATTAATGATGAGAGAGAATCATTGATCCATTGCCTCCTGCATGCGCCCTACTGGGGATCAAGCCTGCAATTTAGACATGTGCTGTGACCAGAAATCGAACCAGCAACCTCCTGGTTCATAGGTTGATACTCAACCACTAAGCCACACCGACCAGGCCCAAAAGATTTCTTAATGGATAAAGAAAAGGTTTTCTGAGGGTCAACTTGAGTAGCTTGTACTCCAAAAAGTCCTTGCTCTGTCCCCAACTTGTGAGAGAGGCAAGCAATATAAATAGAGCCTCATCATCATTGTCACATTGTCATCATCATAGTCTTCAGCCAGCAACAAACCCAATTCCTATAAGCACATCTCAGTGGTCACACAGCTGCATTCTAATTCTCTTCTGGGTATAGATGCCAGTGCCAACAGCAGCACAGAGAATATGTGCAGACAAAAGCAAGGCAAATTAACTCTGGCAGTTATTTGGCTCACTTTTCAAAATCCATCTTAAAAACAAAAGGATTTTTCAGTAGCCAAAGAAGATGGAAAATGCTGGCAACTGGGAAAATCACTACTGGACCTGAAGCAATAATGGCTTACTTAATAGCAATGCCCTTTGAACATTTTTCTCTATGCTTGCATAGGAACATCTGTGTTTATATCAGGGAAAGTGAATATATAGGCACAAAAGACAAATAACTAAATAGGATCGAAGAACCGGAATCACAGTTTGATGTGGCATTTCATAGCAAAGAGGGGGCCAGACCACATGACTGTAGTTACAAAATGAGTAAACACACTGGAATGAAAATAAAAACCTACTTTGACAATCAAGAAAAGTCCTTCTGTTTTGGCAGGATATTAATATGCCTGGTGTGCCCCCTTTTCCCTTTCTAACCAAACTTACTGCTTAGTTAGAAAAATACAAAGGAAGAGTGGGTTGGGGAGATGAGCAGTAATATAGGATCATTCTCTTTTTGGCTGGACACTTAATTCTCCAATTAAGAAGGCATCCCGTGCATAGCCAAGGCCCTGAGAGCAAAGAATTCTGATGACTTGTAATAGTGTTTGCTAGAGTTTTTATTTTTCTGATAATGTCACACGATTCAACTCTTTAACAAAATAAAAAGTATATGATATAGCTAGTAAAAAAAATTCAAATGAAAGTTGTATTTAGGAAATGCAGAAGAGGAAAACACATATCCTCATTTACATACAGATTGCTACAGAGAACTTTAAAGTATTAAGTCTCTATTTTTTACAGTGGTAGGATGTTAGCCTTTCTAAACATGAATCTATAAAAAAACAAGTTTATTGACTTGACTAAACAACATTTTATTTCTTTGTTTTTGTTAATCCTCCCTAAGGACATTTTTCCATTGATTTTTAGAGAGGGTGGAAGGGAAGAGGAGAGGCAAAGAGAGAGAAACACTGATGAGAGAGAGACACATCAATTGGTTACTTTCCACATGTGCCCCCAATCAGGGCTAGGGATCGAGCCTGCAACAGAGGTATATACCCTTTACTGGAATCAAACCCAAGACCTTAAGTCCAAGGGTTGACGTTCTATCCACTGAGCCAAACCAGAAAGGGCTATATAACATTTTTTAAAAAATAGGTAAAAGAGTGGTAAGCATTTTTTTTTAAATCAATAACAAATGGGGAAATAGATACAATGCTAAAGTTATGGGAGAAAATTGAATTAATTTAGTTTTAGATAATATCTAATATTTATTTCTTTTAGAGATATGTCTTCTCTTAACAGCCTTACAAAATAAATGATAGCAAGTATAGTTAAATGGAAATGTGAAGGAAGAATGAATATTATTTACTATCTCAGCGTTGTGAGTATAAACTTGTGCAATGGTGCAGAGCCCACGCTTACAAGATTCCTACACTTGCTTTAATCCTATGCTGTCAATGCCTTGTCATTTTTTAAAATTAAAAAAAAGGAGCCCTGAATTTTTATTTTGCATTGGGAGCTGCAAACTATGTACTGATCCTGCACTTACTATCCTACCAACTACCTAGCTGCAAAGTAGTAAGTTCTGCATCACAGAACACCAAGATACTTAGGAGCTCTAGTCATGAAAACTTGACCATCTGGAAGCAGAAATAAGTTTAGTAGTCAGCTGATAATAAAACAAAGCAGAAAATAAGAGCCATGGTAGAGATGAAGCTCTGGAGGAGGTAGAGGTTATTTCTTGGTGGAATGAAGTCACTGTCCCTGGAAGACATAGCTTTTATTTGGCTCTAGAAAGAAGAGAGATTTGAACATTGGCATTGGGCAAAGGGGAGGCGGTGTGGAAAAGGCAATAGAGGCAGCGTGGTATATAAGGGCACAGGGACTGTCTGGGCATGTGGAAACCTTTGGTTTGCCGGAGGAAAGGAGAAATGAGACTAACAAAGCAGGTTGGCATTGGCTGTGGGAGTTCCGGCTTGCATATTTAACTAATGAGACTATCCATATTCAACAGGGCTTGTGAGCCATTGAAGGGTTATACCAGTCAGTCACAGGCATAATTTAGGGAAGATTAAAGCAGGTTCCAGGCAATGATGGTCGTTGTGTCATCTCTCTGGACTCCCTGCCCTGGGGTGCATTCACACATGATGTGGACTTAAATGTTTCACACAGGAGCCAGATGGGAAGTGACATTAAAGGCAGTGCCTACCTGTTTTTAATTCAGCCAGCTACATTCCACCTGCTCTAAGCTGACCAACAAGAAAAGTTCACTCCACAGAACTAACTTTTATTGTTTAAGGTTTGGATTGTCAGAATAACACAAATCTAGGCAGTTCTGAGAATAATATAAAAATAACACAATATCTAGGGTCAATTTTTAAAAAGTGATACATATCCCCTCAGCCAGGTGTGGCTCAGTGGTTGTGCACTGACTCAGGAATCAAGAGATCACTGGTTTGATTCCTGATCAAAGCATTTACCTGGATTGCTGGCTTGATTCCCAAGAGGGAGCATGCAGGAGTCAGTCAATCCATGATTCTCTCTCATAGTTGATTTTTTTTTCTCTCTCTCCCCCTCTCTTTCTCTCTCTGAAATCAAAAAAGTATTTTTTTTAAAAAAAGATACATCTCCAATCTCCATTTCCTGAAATAATGCCTCTAAAAAATGTTTTTATTGGAGTTAGACAAGGCAATTCTGATATTCTTTGAATTTCCTTGTGAAAAAATTGTGGAAGCTGAAATTAACTTCATAAGCTCCCAATGTGTAGGTATGTGAGACAAATAAAGGGCTCTGTCCAAGTATTTCACTAATTACCAATGGGGTCTTCCTCTATTAGGGTTTCCTCAGAAGAAATCAATACTTGCACTTTAAGACTTAAACATGAGTATTCATTCATATCTCTCACTTTCTCTCCATAGACATTCACACACAAGAACATACATCTTCTTTTCTCTCTCTCTCTCTCTCTCTCTCTCTCTCTCTCTCTCTCACACACACACACACACACACACACACACACACACACACATATCAACTCAGGTACACAAGCACCCAAATAATTTAATTTCTATGCACACTAAACTCTAAATAGAAATTTACATTTTCCCTTCTCCTAAATGTTTTATCAAATCTCACCAAGGAAAAAATCCCAACAATCTACTGATAAAGAAATATTTTAATGTATTATTACTTCACATCAAAGTAGAATTTTATTGCCTCTTTAGAGGGAATATAAATTTTATGTGAAAATAAAAAAATACAGAGACATCAGAAACAAAATAAATTAACCACAGAAAGAAATCCAAAAGTAAGGAATATTAAAATTGCATCTTCAAAAATTAAATAGATATCATTTAAGGTGTTATCACTGAAATAAAATATGAACTCAATTTTTTAACTCCATTTAAATTATTACTTCACCCAAAAATAAAAATATAAAAGATCCACTTTAATATTCTAGCTCCCAAATGAAATTTTAATTGGTGATTCACCTCCTTTTAGCTCACATAATGATGGTTCTGTTTTCAAAAGAAAAATGACTCAAAACAACTATTTTTTAAAATCAGAGTTGTCAATATTCTTAATAACAAAATAGTATTTTCTTTAAAATAACCCGAGAGACAAAGAAATGCATTTCAGCGAATCTCAGTGTATTCCTAAGAAATGAAATGCTGTTTTTTATTCCAGTTCCCATACTATATTGAGTTATTATGATAATGTATACCATCAAGAAAAGCATTATATTTCAGAATTGCAACATAAAATGAGTTTAATTTGGGAAATTGAACTCAGGATTAAAGGATAATAAGCTTCTTTTTGGAACTTTTCCATCTTAGTCACCTGACCTTTCATGTGGAAACTCACAAAAGAGCTGATTTGGTCTTACAGTGTAGGTTGCCTTAGAAGTGGCACGGTGAATATATTAACTAATACATTTTGAAGATGGACCCAATTCTTGTTCAAGCACATTCTTACTTGTTTCTCTCCTTTGCTGTACTCCTCTATGAGAGAATGTTGGATGAAACTCTCAGGTTATGCCTTAACCACATATTACTGAAAGTAAGTACCAGAAATACCAAGAAGCCAGTGCAAAGTCTTGCACTTCCCCAAATGTGTAGCCCATGAAGACCAAGAGGCAGGCAAAAAGGCTTCCCTGTGCTTCATTTCAGACAAGAGGGGTGTGAAGACATTCAATGGTCTCAGAAAGAGAAAAGAAAGCATCATACCTTTTTAAAAATTCCATATATTCGGTGTGCTTGATGAGTCCTGTCCTCATCATTATTGTTTGAAAACATTGTCGATCAATAGCCCAGAGCTTCACATTTACAAGAGCTGGAGAAACAGAAAACAAAGGGGAAAATTAATTATAGAATTTTAACTGGGAATTGTATCCTACAAAAGAAAGGGGTTATTCATGAGAGGCACAAAGATGACTCACCCTCATTCAAAGCATATATCATACTGTCCTATTTTAAGAAGCTTCTTATGAGCAAAATGTACTTCATAATTTTTCTTACTCATATTAATGTCAAAGAGGAAGTTTCCTATTGCTTTATGTCCTTCAGGAATGAGAATGTCTAAGTATAATATACATTGAAAATACTTAGTAATTTCACAATATATATGAAGGTAATCAGATGGAGAGGTTTACAAGTATTATAACACTCCCTGGTAATTCCCCAGAGTGATTTTAATAACTCATAAGACCATATTTTAGTTGTAAAAAGTAGATGCAAAAAATTCAATTTTCATATTAAGGGATAAAGTTAATACAAATAATTTTATACAATGATTTCCGCAAAAGCGCTCATTTTACAAATGATAACCTGTGCCTAAAGTTACCACAAAAAGTTATATTAGATATGTTTGTTAAATTTTTACTCTTATATACCACTGTCATTGACAATAATTAAATATTGAAACTGAACATCTCAGAGATTCACCATTTGATCTATTAAGTGCCTGATGAAGACATAAATTTTAGATGTTACAGTGTAACAAAACAATATATCAACATAAACCTCGATTTTAAAAGAAGGTACATTAAAAATCTTGGTAATTGATTGCCAAAGCCGGTTTGGCTCAGTGGTAGAGCATTGGTCTGCAGACTAAAAGGTCCCAGGTTCGATTCCGGTCAGGGGCATGTACATTGGTTGCAGGCACATCCCTGGTAGGGGGTGTGCAAGAGGCAGCTGGTCGATGTTTCTCTCTCATCGACGTTTCTAGTTCTCTCTCTCTCTCTCCCCCTTCCTCTCTGTAAAAAATCAATAAAATATATTTAAAAAATAAAATAAAATAAAAATCTTGGTAACTAAATCTGTTTGATGGGTAATCAATAGGCTTATTTAACCACTAGAAGCCCAGCGCATGAAATTTGTGCATGGGTATGGTCTCTAGGCCTGGCCACTGATCAGGGCTCATTGGGGCCTTCTGGCTGCCAGCTGGGGCCTTCCTTTGTTCCACACCCACCACCCCCTGGTGGTGAACACATATCATAGTGAGTGATCACAGTCCCAGTCTAACTCCGGAGGGGACACTTTGCATATTAGCCTTTTATATATATAGATTCTATTTTTATGTGTTGCAAATTTTCATAAAATATTTCAAGTTACCACATGAACTAGAGAAAGCCAATTCATGTATCATGCCAAGGGTTAGAGCAAGGCCACTAAAGGGAACCAGGATATATAATAGTTTAATGAGCTGAATAAAGAAAAATGAGGAAATGTAATTTGTCATCTTCCTGTTCTCAAACTAAGCCCTGACAATGCAATGGATCAAGGTTTTGGGGTTAGGAATGGGAGAAAATGTTATACTAACTAGGCCATGTGCATGCCTTGTGGGAAAGGGCTGGAAGAAGTTAACACACTGATGAATGTGAGGGAAAAGATGAAGGAAATACTATCCTCCCCTATCTTTAAATTTTACCTAATTTTTCCTTGCAAATTATTTGAATCTAAAACTACAATATCCCTTCCCTCTTAGCCAGTTCTTCATTAGAGAAAAAAAGGTGCCAAGTAGAAAAAAAAAAAACCAACAACACAAAGCATCAAGGTCTGAAGTGTACATGGTTCCATTTCAAACACTCTTTAAAAATGAACCTTTGTCAAAAGAAAAGCTCATCTCACAAGTGTTCTCCAGCCACATGCTGGTACCTCTGCTAATCCCAGGCTACCTTACAGAATGCCTGCTTACTTAGAAGAAACCAGAGGTCTGAACGACAGCCATGAAGAACTACAAAAATCTGGAGAAAATTCATATGAAGTAGAATCTTACAAAAGGCTAGGACTTGAGCTAGGAGAGAAATAGGAGGTAACTGGGTGGGGAAAGTACATAAACAAGAGCACAGCTGGCTGTAAGCATAGGCACTGGGACTCCAGGCAGAGGTGGGACACATTGAAATGGCCAAGATGTCTACAGAGTTGTCCACATGACTTGAAGTAGGCCCAGGAAGCAAGTCATAATGAAGCAAGGATTAACTTAATGAACAACCAAAAACTATCAGTGATTTTAAGAAGACAAACAAAACATAGAACCAAATTTTTAAAGGCAACACCATTCAGTATTTTATCTTCTGATTTCCATTTACATGGTTATTGAAATGTCTCTAAGTGAAACAGTGTTTGGTATATTTGCATAACAATGAACATGGCTTGATGAGATTGCAAATTTGTCCATGACCTTGAGCCAGATGCCAAAACCTTTTTTATATTCAGCCAATATATGTACTAGTCAAGTCAGCATTTTACAGGTGGTAGAGCATGACTAATAGTCACCTTGTCTTGTTATCAAAAGTATGGTTGAGTTAAAGTTGTGATTAATATCTTGCTTCTTAAACAGCCTGCTGAAGTGGAAGTCTGTTGCTTCCATAACTTAAAGACAAAAAACAAAACAAAACAAAACAAAAAAATCTCTCCATTTACCTCTGATCTTAAGTGGTGTATTAACCTCTGTAGGGAATAAGCACTACATAAAATACCTATGGTTTTCACAATGTTTATTGTTGGTGGACATATAAGTGTGAAGGGCATAAAGCAGAGAAGACTATTAAGAACACATATATGGACATAAAGCACTTATAGACTTGAATATTAACTTAGCCCATTATTTATTTTATATCCAATACTGGTGCTATATAGAAGGGAGAGAAAACAAATGTATAGTTCCTACCCCCGAACTAGTTGTGATCTAGCATAGAGACCAACAAAGTACTGTCCATGCCAAGTCTGGCCCATTATTGGTTTTGTACAACCCACTAAAAATGGGTTTGGTAATTTCAAGTGGTTGAAAATTTTAAAACAAAAAATATTTCATGGCATGAGAATTATATGAAACAAATTTTAGTATCCATAAAATTTTTACTGGAACACAACATGTCCACTCATTTACACATTGTCTCTGGCTGAATTGAATGGTTCTTATGGAGACCATTTCACCAAATCTTCTGGCCCTTTAAGATAATAGTTGCCCACTTGTGGTGTGATTTAATAAATAAACAAATCAAGAGTTTAAGTATCAGCAGTTGGTAAATATCTGGGGCTCTGAATACACAGAAAAGGCATCACAGTCTTCCCACGAAGAGGAGCTGATTAAAGGCTCTGTAGCAGAGAATCATCTGGGCCAGAGTTCCTTGCCATAACTATGGACCAAATGTTTGTGTTCCCCAGCCCCCAATTCAAAGTGAAAGTCTGAATCCCCATTGTGATGGTATTTGGAGGTGGGGCTTTTGGGAGGTAAATAGGCTCTGGTCCAAATTCCAGTGTGGGAGGAAGTGGTTCCCCAAGCCAGCACACATTTCTCAACCTGCTGCATGTCCTACAATGCAGCTCAATTCTAACACAATCTACCCAGAAATAGGATCAGATCCCACAGGTTAAGGGCTCATCCTCTAGGACTGCTCCCACCACTACCACTTCAGATGTGCCAGTTGACAACCCAGGTTGTTACCTGTCCTTCTGACAGACTGGCTATAAATCAGAGGCTCCCTCAACACCCTCAGTGAATTTGATTAATTTGCTAGAGCAGCTCACAAAACTCACAAGAAACATTTGACTTACTGGAGTCCTGGCTCATTATAAAAGGATATAACTCACAAGTAGCCAGAGGGAAGAGATGCTCAGGGCAAGGTGTAAGGAGTGGCTCTAGGGTCCAGCCTTGGCTAACCTGTAGCAGGACCACAAACAAGTCCCAGCCTGGAGGGCAGAGCTCTCCCAGCATAATTAAGCCTGACCTTGTGGCCCTCCCTAATTCCTTCCTAAGTAGCTAATTGGCTGTAGAAGGTGAAGCAAGTGATGCCAAAACAAGAATATTTGTATACATGTTAATCTACCCTTGTTTTAATCAGACTATAAAATAAAGTATCAGCTTGCAGGCTAGGTCTTTTGTGTCCTCATCCAGGCACTGTGAGAACCACCACACCCCAGCTGTATTCTCTTGTCTGTCTTTTCTTCAACCCTTCACTGCCCCTCCTCAGGTTCACCTTTGGCTGTGCTAGTGGGGTACAGCAAGGTATGTGGGAAGGGGTGTGGACTTGCCATACTTTCTCCAGACACCTCCTTCCCCAATCTGTGTTCATCAACCTGAAACTCTCCAAACCTTGTCCTTGGGTGTTTTATGGATGCTTCATGACATTGGCAAGGTTGATTAAATCATTGGACTTGGGAGACTGATTCAACCTCCAGTCCCTGTTGAAATTTCAAACCCTTTAATCACATAGTTTGCTTTCCTAGTAAATACCACACCCCCACACCCCTACACACACACACACACACACACACACACACACACACACACTTTAAGTGGAGTCTAAAAGTCAATTCATTAACATCACAAGAGACACTTTGCAGCTTTCATCTCTGGAAATTCCAAGGCTTTTTGGAGCTCAATGCCAGAAACAGAACTGGAGTAATTCTATATATTTTTCTAAAAGCATAATAGGCTAATTAGACCACATGTCCTCCCTTCTAGACCAGTGTCCTTCCTTCTAAAACCACTGCTCTACAGCAGCAGTTTTCAACCTGTGGGTCATAATCCACAGGTTGAGAACTGCTAGCAGGGTCACCTAAGACCATTGGAAAACACAGATGTTTACATTACAATTCATAACAGTAGCAAAGTTACAGTTATGAAGTAGCAATGAAAATAATTTTATGGTCAGGGGTCACCACAACATAAGGAACTGTATTAAAGGGTCATTAGTGGCATTAGAAAGGTTGAGAACCTTTATACTAGACAAAGCCACAGCAGGCAGGAGCCAGGTCAAGGCCCTTGCATGACTTTCGGGCCTCTGATGTGTGTGTGTGTGTGTGTGTGTGTGTGTGTGTGTGTGTGTG